AGAGGAGCAGCACAGGGTGGATCAGATAATTTGGACCCTCTATCCTGAAGCATGCTGCAGCCACTGGGTCCACATCCTTCTATCTATTACCATCTTACATCTCTACTATAGCCAAGTGAAGAAATGGGACTTTGAGCAACCTGTCCCAACAGCTTTCTCCTGGTTCTCCTACTGATCTAAATCTCCTCTATAGATTCTACCTCATCTGACCAAACTCTGGACTCAGTGCACCTCAGGGCTCAATCCTCCCACCTTTTCTCTTCTGTCTGCATACTCATAGACTGGGTGATCTCATATATTCCCATAGCTTTAAATACCCTCGACATGTTGACAACAAATTTATATATCTGGAGTCCCATCTGCTCCCCTGAACTCCAGACTCATATATCTAGCTGGTGCCTAGACAAGGCTACTTAGATATCCAGTAGGCATCTAAACAGATTCAAAATTTAATTATCTTTCCATCTCCTCCTTCATCTCAATAAATGGCAATATCTTCTACCAGCTGCATTATTTTTCTTTTTAGCCCTTACCACCAAACATAATTTGTTTAATGTCTGTTTCTCCCCAGGAGAATGCAAGCTGCATGAGAGCAGCTATTTCTGTCACAATAGATAAGGACTAAAAGGGACTAATTCAGGCTGTATGGAAAATGCAGGTCCCCAGGGGAGCTATACAGGGTGAAGTCTGGATGACAAGATGGAGCCAATCATGAGAGAATATAGATCAGGATGTTCTAGGCAGAGGAAGTGACGAATGCAAGCAAAGATCTAAGTGCAAAAGAAGCTCGTAGTGACACATTAGGAAGAGCAGAAAGAAAGCCCATAGGGATAGAGAAAAGGGAACAAGAGGAAGAGTACCGAGAAGGGAGGAATTAGGTGTGGAATGTGGTTACAGGGATTCATGGAGAGGGAATGTCAAGTCCAAAGGCCTGGAGGCAAGAGTCAAATTCAGTATTTCAATACAAACAAGAAGAGGTTACCAAGATCTCTTCCAGAAGGCCTCACTGAGCATTTCAAGCTTCCCTAGGGGGTTCTCTGGGTATGTTAGTATTTGTTCAAATTAATTTTGAACAGTCTCGGCTAAAATGTAAGCATTTGCTCAGCCGAGTCAGCTGTGATCTCAAGTAAAATAGAGCAGTTTCTGTGGTGATAGAAACTGCAGCAACCTTGCCACAAACTTTACATGGCTTAGAAGCCCCCCTTTACACTGGGGACAGTCTCAGAGTCTTTCTACCAGGACATCTGATCTATGACATGTCTAATCAAAATCATATAAGTGTTGCAATCTATGGGAAAAAATTCTAACACTTCCAATAAAGACATATATGGGGGGAAAAAAAAGCCTATGGCACTAATCAATACCATATTCTAACTCTAAGTATTAAGCATTTTACTAAGGCCACTACAAAGGGTTATCATTTCTTATATATTTATGTAGTTAAAAGGCTGTTCTCACGTAGCCACGTGATGGTAGGTGTCAATCAACATCTTGACAAATGCGGCATCATGGAAGATGGTTTTCTGAGTAAGAAGTATGAGACAGGATAAGCTATACCCTCAAAAGTTTCTGAAATGGATATTTCCCATTACTTTCTCTGAGTCACTTTTTTTCTTACATTTTAACTATGCATTTTTGGTTGGCTTTAGCAAAAATTTTTTTAAAAGCTCAAAAATTAAAGTTAGTAAGGAGCTAAGAGGAGGTTCCATTTCTAAAAATCAATGTTTCTTCGGGCTCTTTTTCTGCAAATAGCCTTTATGTTACCCAGATGACGTATTCATCTTACTAAGTTGGTAAATCATTGGAAAAAAGAGAATTCGTTTAAACTGTTCTGTCCTTTTTCATTTTGAGATTTTACTTTTGTTTAGTCACTGTTCTGATACACTTAGGTTTTGTCAAATTCAATTAATATATAAGTCATGATTTATTACTGAAAAAACAGAAGATTAAATGGCCTTGTAATCAATTACAGAACTCCTTTACACTTTCCTAGCACATTTAAAATATTCTACTTCCTAAATGAAGCACTAATTTTTAAATCACAAATTCTTCAGCACATCTTTGCACAAAAACTGCTACCAGCTATGCCTTCAGTTGTGTTGGTTCTGGAAGTGTTGATTTAGATATTTAGATTTGTATGTTTAATGATTACTTTTACATAATCTTTGTGGAAATGCAATCCATTAGGCTTTTATCTACAGAGATTTTTCTTCATTATTTTGCATTCTTTATTTTCAGACGTTCTCTGAAACAGATAAAGCAAGCAAAACCCACAATATGACTTCACTCATGAACACAGAATTTCCCCCTTGCCCTAACATGAGAAACATGACTGAAGGCAGAAATGAAGATCTCTGAAACACTAAAAGTTGGTGGTCCAATCTCCATCTCCATTGCTTATAAGACACTCTACCACATTCCCTCGTCATTTCTTCTCCTTGGTCTTTGTCCTTTATCCCATCATATTGGATGATCTCAAGACCCTGCTCATAAAATATCAAACCTCTGAGCTCAGCTTTCTCAATTCCTAAGGTCTGTCTCCCTGCATAGCCACATCGTAACTTCATCTCTATCTGTTCCAGCTCCCCTGCCAAGTTCAGTGTATGTTTCAACTCCCACTCCTGATCACAACTTCCTTGTCCTCTCTTAGAATCTCCTTTGTTCCTAGTGAACCTTCAACATAACTAGTAGTCATGCTTGCCCTCTCTCCTTTCTAATCTAAGGCTATCAATACTCTCCTGCCTCAATTATCGCTATACTCAACCAGGACCCGTTTTCACATTATACTTACCCGTGTCCCTGTAATTCAGCACCATGTCTTTCGTGCCAACCACCAACTTGAATCTGACCTTTTAACTGTTCTTACTGCTCACATTCCAGTGCTCTGGGTATTGCTAGAAAGCATGGTAATTAGTCTTTCCTTGACATATTTATTATATCTAACTTCAACAGCTCTTTATTGTTGACCAGTAGTCCTTTTTCTCTTGTATAGCCTGCTCCTGGCTGTTCTAAACTATTTCTACAAACTCCTCTCATAGCAGACGTCCACTCCTTCCTAACACCTGTCCACCTGTCCAACCAACTGACTTACTGTCCAAAGTTCTATGTTTTAACCAATCCTCTCCTCCTTTTCTCCCAGCGCAGAGGAAGAACTTTTCCCCTGGTGCCTACAGATCTCCCTCAGTGCTTTAAGAACATTCCCTTGGCTCTTTTTACTCCTGCAAGCTACAACACACTTTCTCATATTATTTAAACTAATACATTTTCTAAAAATATAGCCCATGCTAGTTGGTTTATCACTCTCCTGATCTATTTGCACAGGATTTGAATCATAACCTCACTCAACCCAGAACCATATATTCCCCTGGCTTCCATCCCATCTCCAACTCTTTTATTTTCACATCTCTCTAATCCCTCTTTCACATTTCTGTCATCGGCTCCTCTTCCAGGCCGTAAGTGCACGTACTACCCATCTCTCGCTGTGGAACTTGGACTTCTATTGTATAGCTCCTAGAGCTAGAGTGAGGATTATGTATAAAGCACTTAAAATAGTGTCCTATTTAGCCTCAAGACTCCAATTAAAGTCACCTCCACAGGGAAGCTCTCTCTGACCGCTCCAGAAAGGGTCAGTCTCCCATAATGGCTTATATGTATCTAGCACAGATCACATTGTATGGCTGTCTCTCTGATACTGGGACCAGACCCATGGTAGGCTGATGTTTCCTAAGAGAATATGGTCACCCCTCTCCTCAACATTTCTTCCCCATCTTATCTATCTCTCACATGGCCGCCAAATTAATCTCTCCTGAATCCTATACTGATCCTCTCATGCCTCTATTCAGACTTCTAGCAATTTTCTCGCTGCCTATAACACCACCAAAACTTCTTAGCCCAGCTCTTAAACCCCTCATATGACCAAAACTCCAGATCAGTCTTCTACTAATGCCTTCTAAGAACCACTTGCCTTATTCTACAAATATACACAGTACTTCCTCTCACCTTGTGGCCTCTGCTCAAGCTCATTTATATGACTGCCACGTCCTACTTGCGTGATCCTTTCTTAGCTCATACAATACTCCCTATGACTCAAGGCCACGTTAAAGACACTCTCCTCAAATTGCTCTCCCTTATCCATTTAGCAAATGATATCAAACTGTGCTGCATTTCTAGAACATTTAGTCCACACTTGAGTGTTTTATTTATGTGTATACATAATTCCCCAACAGGATGGTAAAGCCAGAGATATCAAGGATGATGTTTTAAACAAGTCTGTAACCTTCACTATAACTGACAATCAACATCTTTATCATCATCAACATTTATTCATTATGCACCAGGTGCTGCTACAAATGTTTTACAACAATCCTGTGGGATATATACTATTTTTCCCATATACAAATGGGAAGCCTGCGTCACAGACAAGGGCCTTCACAGAAATTTGAACACAATGGGTACAAAATTATATTTGTGAAGGAATAAGTGCATTACTAATAACTATGCTCTGAAACTGGTGCATAAATTAATCCATCAACCTAGAAAGTTTTCCCATTCTTCCCAGCCCAGGAAAATCCTCCCAGCCTTCAAGACCCAACTCAAATGTCATCTTTTCAAGAAAGTCTCCTGCTAACACCCTGGCCAAGTTAGCTGCTCCTTCCATGAATTATCTTTAACACTTGTGTCTTATTATTATAACACTAAGGTTATTTAGAAGTTTGCTCAATTAGAATGGATTTCTTAATGGCAATTTGCTCAGTATTTTTAATTCTCAGAACAATTAACTGGAAAGGAAAATGAATGTAATTTACATCTGCTGAACAAATGAAATAGAAATGTCTTCTAAGCAATATTTGATAATCATATTCACAAATCTTTCCTGTAACATTAAGTCCATGTATCAAGTCATAAGGTCTGGTATGGCTAAGTCTAATTCAGAAGGTCTATTCTTTCTTTTAACATGTCCAAACAAAGCATCACTCTCAAGAAATGAGGAACAGACTTACCAGTCGTCTTCTTTCTTCTTCTACTGCGATGAGTAGTCTTGCAAATTCTTTTAGTGACTGAGCTATTTAGAGAATAAATTAAAAAGAAAAAAGCATTAACCTTTTTTCATTGCTAATATCTAATTGCACAGGAATCAACATTACAAGGAAGCTAGTTATAAATTTGTATATATTCTGCGGTTTTATGTTTTTATAAGCATAAAACAGTATATACAATAGAAGTTCAATGACTAACAGCTATATGTTAGTGTGCAGCAAACTGAAATTTAGCACGTATCAAATATAATGTTTTTTCTTCAAAGACACTAGGGAATAGTGTTTATATATAGTTTACATATTTCAAATATAAAACTTATACATTAAAAAATAAAAGTATAGTACTGGAATCACTTCTAAACAGAATCCTACAAATAACGAAAAATGTATTAAATCTGTAAGAAGCAATAAATCCAATACTATTTAGATGTACTTAGTAGCAGCCAGTAATGCAGTCTCCCAATGACATCTTTCTAGAAGCTCAACAGTTACAGATACTTAAAAACAGATTCTGTATTCTATATTACTCCCATATCCAAGGTACTCTAGACCTGTGCTAGTCAGTGGGGTCAGAAGGACCACCAGCATCAGCATTTTGGGAGCTTGTTAGAAATACGCACTCTCAGGCCCCACCTCAGAATCTGCACTTTGACAAGATCCCCAGGTTATCCATTCGCATATTAAAGTTGAGAAGCTTTAGAAAAGTATGTGGACCTATATTGCTGTGACTTGGGAAAAGGATCAAGTATTCAGAAACAATGGGAGAACAACCCCCCAAAAAATAAATAAGGAGTTATAGTATCACATTCTTAAAAAATGCATAGTCCTGGGCTGGCCCAGTGTCATAGTGGTTAAGTTCCCACGCTCCGCTTCGGTGGCCCAGGGTTCACAGGTTCGAATCCCAGGTGTAGACCAACACACCGCTCATCACGCCATGCTGTGGTGGCGTCCCGCATACAAAATGGAGGAAGATGGGCACGGACGTTAGCTCAGAGCCAATCTTCCTCAGGAAAAGAGGAGGATTGGCAACAGATGTTAACTCAGGGCCAATCTTCCTCACCAAAAAAAAAAAAAAAGCAAAGTCCCAAATAGCAATTGTGGAAGAGTAATTCATCCATATCAATTCCTGTACTTTATACTTAATATAAATTATTAACTAAAGTCAGAATGTTTGGATTATAAAACTAACATAACAAATAAAGTGAATGCAAAATTTATTTTTATTTAAGCTTTGAACCTTTCCTTTTATGTCCTTATTATTTAGGCTCCCCACCTCTTCCTTCACCCACATTAATATTGAAAATATTCTGTGAGACCAGACGTATAGTAAGTCTAGCATAAAGTCTGCAATAAAGGCAGGTAAGTAAGGAAAACAAATCAAGAGTTTCATCAACAGAACTTATAAAGAGAAAGAATGTTTTCCATTCAAGAATTTAAAATTCCAATCTAGGATTTTGTTTTCTCTTTTCAGAACTACTAGGCTTACACTCACTAAGCTGGTTTGAAATGCTATCCCTATGATTAGTTCACAGTGGATTTTATTCACAGTTACCAAAACAGAAATCAAAGGATTACTTAGGAGACTCCAATTAATCTGATAAACACATTAATGGCCTTAGAGTAAGCATAACTTTTTTTTAAACATTTAGAAAAATGAGATTTTAATTTCTACAAAAATAACTATCAACGCTATAAAACAGCCCCGGTTTTGACAACAGTAAGTCGAACAGAAAAACATTTGCAAACACATAGAATATCTTAACTGGAGTACATAATAGCATATTATATTTTTGTACTTTTGGTATAAAGAACGCATTACATCATCATTCTGGCAGCTATCCACTGCCACAGAAGATCCCTATTGGTGAGCTGGAAAAAAGTCAACAAAACTTTGGATGATGGAAGACAATGCTAACATGCCTACAGAGGAAGAAGCCAAAAGGTAAGTCAGTTTGGGCTACAGGAATTAGAGGTAGCAGGTACTCCTGTTAAAAGTGAGAAATTAGGGCCGGCCCCGTGGCTTAGCGGTTAAGTGCGCACACTCCGCTGCTGGCAGCCCGGGTTCGGATCCCGGGCGCGCACCGACACACCGCTTCTCCAGCCATGCTGGGGCCGCGTCCCACATACAGCAACTAGAAGGATGTACAGCTATGACATGCAACTATCTACTGGGGCTTTGGGGGAAAAAATAAATTAAAAAAAAAAAATTTAAAAGTGAGAAATTAAGAGGAGATATACAGAGAAAGAGTAGTTGAAAGTCTGTATAAGAAGCACCTTAACGCCAGATTTCTACTCAATGCCTCCCAACCTTTTTATAAATATCAAAAAAAACAAACAAACAACAAAAAACTTACCCCTATATGCTTCCTTTTATTGGAAGCTATTGAATAATGCAATCTAACAAAACATGGGAATAAACCAAGAAAATAGGATATGGAATCTGGAAATGAAAGATCTAATATAGCAGAGCCATAAATGGAATTCTCAGGACGACACAGAGATATTCCAGGACAACAGTTACGCAAAAGGTCCAGAGAGGATCTTGTCTAGATTGGAGCAATAGGTTAGGGGCTCCAGGAAATGTCTCCAGAGAAAGGAAAATAGAACTGATCAATATCCTGATGTGCCCGAATGTAATGAGAGGAAATTTATATTTATACTTCTTTTTTTAAAAAAAATTCAAAGGCAATTATTAACTCCTGGAAAAACAAAGCTATACAAGTGACACAATCAAAATAAATGAAATAGCTGAGTTGTGAATAATATGTACAATCACTGTAATACAAACATTAAAAATTGATTTTGCCAAAATTAAGTTTTAACTCTACTGAGAGAATAGGGGAAAACAGCATGTAAGACAGTATGAATAGTGTGACAACAGCATAAAGTGAAAAGATGATATCTAAAACTGAAAAAAAAATCAAGTAGCAGCAAGATAATCAAGGTCTTAAAAGAAATAGCAGAAATGGCTAAAAGTTCAAAGTGGTCTTTCTGGGGTGGTGGGGACTGGTAGGATAGGAGATTGCTAGTTTTTGTTAAGCCTAATAAATCTAAACATTTTAAAGAAATAATGAAGAATAAAATATGCTATAAATGCTTTATTTTCCTACTAGCCTCAAGTCTAGGAGGGCATAGATCATGTATTATTAATTTTCCCAAAGGATTAAGTAAATACTTAGCCCTTAGAAGCCTGCTGACGTGTATTTCTGGAATGAAAATATAACTTGATTTTAGACTGGCAGGGGGTACACTAGAACCTCCCACTTGGTCAACCCAGAAAATGATCATTGGCTCATGTAGCAGCTCCTAGTAGTCCCAGGCAGTATTTTACTATGATGACTGCAGAAGTCCACAGGCTTCCCCAAGGTACCTATTACTCCTAGAGTAAATTGTGGCCTTAAATTGTAGCCTTAAATCAGATTTTGGTTACAAGTACGGAAACTCAGGTTCTCCTTTTGCTGTTGTACCTCTTTGTCCAAAAATTAATGATGCTGTTTTCTGCTTTACTTGAATGGTTTTCTGGTCTGTTTCCCATATAAATACTATTTATAGACAGTACAATAGTAGCTGATTATAATGAGAATGTCTGAGGAGAAAAATTTTAACATGCAAAAGCAATTGCATGTCTGGTTCCTCCCAACAAAAACTACTCTCCCTCCAGCAGTTTTCTGAGTCTGCCCCAATCTGACAAAAAGTTTTATTCCCTCTTCTTCTTTTGTTGATTTTTCAGGTAAATGACATCAGAAAACTAAGATTGTTCTCTTTAAATATTATAGTCTCAGTTCCATAGAAGTATACGTTTCTTGGTCCAAATGAAGATATTCATGGTCATCATTTGTTCTATAAGAAAATGAACAGCCAGGAACACTAAATATTTATTTCATGAATTACTGACAGTGACCTACTAACTTTTTAAACCCATATCTAATGTTTTCCCCTAAATCTTCTTATTTATATTGATGTCAAAGTATTACATTAATAGTTTACTCAGCACAACATAACACAGAAAGAAAACGGGAATTAACAATCCTATAAAATATAAAATAATTCAAGGTGATATCATGTAAATCGGGTTTTAGGAGAAAGGGCTGAAGGACAGGCAGTCACTTCGCTGCCTACCCCACCCTCAAAGTCTAACAGGAACCTTTGTCGTAAGTCAGGCAGATCTCAGCTGCCTAGTGTACCCCAGCAGCTCCCTAAAGATGAGAGGCCAGTGTTAGAATTTCCGGTGCATGGGACTCACAAATGCCGTAAGAGACCAGGAAGAATAGAAAGAGTCCATTCTCCACCAGACCTTGGGCACAAAACATACAGAAAATGACTCCCCCAGCACCCACCACGGTGCCTTATACAAAAAGGTATTGATTTTTTGACTGCTTGAGCCACTTCTTCTACGATTTTACTTAAGCAAAATCTGAAAATATTTTTTATTACATGCATACTTCTAATACCCAAATACCTTCTTTTATAAGCAATTATTTTGTGATGCTCCATATTTTATTTATCAATACTAATATTTACATAAATAACAACCATTTCATTATCTGATTTTCAGGGTCCAGACTAACGTCAAATATAACAGCTGGTCCTGCAGTTACAGATTTTGACCATACCTAGGTGATATGACAGGAGCTTCATTTAGTGAGAGTAATATTCCAAAAACAATACTTAACACACACAGTGGGCTTTCAATAGATGATTGTTAAATGAATTAATGAGTTTAACAATACATTCCCACAGTCTATTTGCTCTATAAGGAGAAACATACCAACTCTTATTCTAGGCTTTGTAAAATATTATGAAAAGGATGGGCCAGATACTTTGGAAAATTACGTTGGCTATCCACATTCTTGCCACCTGCATGAAACTTTCCTGGCTGTATTCACCAGTAATAATCTTTCCCCTTCCTGACCATCTGGACCATGAGATTACTGGAGAAAAATCAAAATATAGTTTCGTATATAAATTTTAACTTTCCAACAAATTGAGGTCAAGAATATTGCTATAGGTTTCCTTTTTATCTCCA